GAGAGAGGAAGGGAGAGAGAGAGAAACATCGATTGGTTGCTTCCCGCATGCACCCCAACCAGCTACTGAACCCACAACCTGGGCATGTGACCTGAAACCAGCGACCTTTCAGTGTACTGGATGAAGCTCAACCAACTGAGCCACACTAACCAGGGTGATTTTTTTAAAAATATGTTTTTATTGATTTTTTAGAAAAAGAGGAAGGAAGAGGTTTAGAGAGATAGAAACATTGATGAGAGAGAAACATCATTGATTGGTTGCCTCCTGCACGCCCCCTACTGGGGATCAAGCCTGCAGCCTGGGCATGTGTCCTGACTGGGAATCAAACTGGTGGCCTCTTGATTCCTGGGTTGATGCTCGACCACTGAGCCACACCAGCCCAGCAGGGTGTTTTTTGTTTTGTCTTGTTTTAATGTGTCAATTTTTTATTGAGATACAGCAAGCCACTTAAAAATTTATTTTAAAAAGTTTGGCGACTGTAGAAAGTTTCCTTGATGAAATATTAGCCTCCACATACACTACCAGGCAAACTGTCGTAGAGATCACAGAACAGAAAGTTCATAGACAATATAAAATTGCTTGAAGGACATAGCTTAACATTACTTCAACTTCCTTACTAGGGAGGTTTTTAAAAAACAGTTTTGTTGAGGTATAATTGATACACCATAAGCTATATATTTAATGTATACAATTAGATTAGTATGGACATATGTATATACTTGTGAAAATATTGCCACCATATCTAGGTAACAAATATATCTATCACCTCCAAAAGTTTCCTTGTGCCTTTTTTTTTTTTTAATCCTCACCTGAGGATTTTTAAAAAATTTATTTTACAGACAGAGAGAAATCATTTGGTTGCCTCCCCACCAGAGATCGAACCCCCAACCTGGGTATGTGCTCTAACTGGGACTTGAACCCAAGACCCTTCAGTGCACAGGGGAACCCTCCAACCAACTGGGCCACACTGGCCAGAGCTCTTGTATCTTTTGTGTTCGTGTATGTTAAGAACACTGACATGAGCTCTGTGTCTGTCCCTCTATCAGAGGGCAGACACCACACCCAGCCCAAGCTTTTTTTTTTTTGAAAAAAAATCTCTTTACTGAGTCACACCCAGCTGTAAACAAGTCACCATGAGAGCCCCACCCCAACCCCCAGACCACAGTCCTCGAGGAAATACTGGGGAAGGTCAGTGGGGTAGGTGCCAAGCAGGGCAGCGGGCAGGCAAATGCAGCAGGCTCCAGGTTTGTGGGAAGATGGGGTCAGAGCAGGAGTGGGGACTGAGCTCCCAGGAGCCTCAGAGCAGGGCCCGTAAGGACCAGGTCAGCCCAAGCTTTTAAGCAAAAAAAAAAAAAAAAAAAGTAAAAGAACACTGACATGAGATCTATCCTCTTAAAAAAATTTTTTTTTTTTTTTAGTTCTTTTTCCTTGTTTTTTACCCTCTTAAATTTTTAATGCATACATTTTTAAGTATAGGGAGATTTTTTGTAAGTAGAATCGATTAAACTTCAGGAAGAGAAGACAATATACAAATAACCGAAGTCTAGGTGACACTGAACCATCTTTGAGAAGCTGAAGAAGCAGGTTTTTGGGAGATGTTAACCATTTTAGTTTGTTAGGTCTGAGGTGCCTGTAGAAACCGAAATGGAAGTGTCCAATAGGCATTGGATTAGTGGAACTGGAGTTCAGGAGAAATGACTGGGCTAGACATCTAATTTAATCATTGAGCTCCTCCATCAATAATGTTTGACTAAATTAATTTGTCTAATTTCTAAGCTGAAGACAACTAAAAACGTTGGATCAAATGCTTTTAAAAATCAAGCCCTGGACAGTGTGGCTCAGTAAGTTGAGAGTCGTCCCATGCACTGAAAGGTTGTCAGTTCAATTTCCAGTCAGAGTACATGCCCCGGTTGCAGGCTGGATCCCTGGGATGTGCAGGAGGCATCGTATCCCCGCCCCCCCCTCTCTCCAGCCCCCCATTTTCCCTTTTCCCTTCTCTCTCTCTCAAAATCAATAAAAATATTTTTTAAAAGATCAAGAACTAGTACAAGTGTGAGGAATTATTGGTGTTAGAGCATGAAAGGGCAGAAAGACAAAGTTGAGGTCAGCAGTGGGACTGCTTTTACCTTGAGGTCATTTGCTGATCGGGAACTGGTGGAAGAAAATGGGCTGTGTGGGACAAGGGAGACAAATTGGAATCCAAATGTCCCCAAAGATGAGAATCCTGGTAAACCACCATCCTGTTTTGGGTTAGGATCCTGGAAGGCAGCACTCTTAGGGAAAACCTAAGAGTAGGGTAAACTGGAAGTAGAAAATCCAGACCCAAAATATTAAAAAACCAAAATTAAGAACCAATTGATGGGTATAACAGCAAGTTAAACTACACTGAGAATCAATAAAATGATTCAAAAGAAAGAACAGAAGAAAGCCCTGGCTGAGTAGTTCAGTAGATTAGAGTGACTTCCTAGTATGCCAATGTTGTGGCAGGTTGCAGGCTCCATCCTGGTCAGGGCACATACAAAGACGAAATCAGCCATGAGTGGAACAACAAATCTATGTTTTTCTCTCTCATAATGACAATAAAAGGGATGAAAAACCTAAGAGAAGGTTAGAGACATAGAGGATACTGTGAGAAAGTCTGACACACCTTTATTTGGAGCCCAGACAGAGGAAAATAATAGGATAGAAACAATATGTGAAGAGATTATGGCTGAGGATCTTAAAAAGTAGATGAAATACATTAAGCCACAAATTCCAAGTGCAACAAACCTCAAATAGGATTTTAAAAATCCATATCTAAACCCATCAGAATGAAACTGCAGGAAATTAAATAAAAATAAAATGTTTAAAACATAAAAAAGTTGAAAAAAATAAAAAAATAAAAAAGAGTAGTAATTGCCTTCAAAAGAAAAACCATTAGATTGACAACTTTTTGTTTTAAGGTAAAAAGGGAAGCCACAAGAAGTAGGGAACTTCACGTGAGGCTTAAGCTCAGGAGTTGCTGTAGTAACCACGCTAAGGGAATAGTGGCCAATCAGAGGGGGTATCAAGGCACAAAGATCTGCAGCCTTTATAAACTGTAGGGAAAAGGGACTCAGTGGGACTCTTTCCCTCTCTCTCCCCACCTGGGAGTCTGTACTTGTTCTTCAATAAATTTCCACCTTTACTATATATAAAAAAAAGGGAAGCCATAGACAGTAAAATAACATTGTAAATGTGATGAAAGAAAATAACTCCCAACTAGGAAGCCATACCCAGAAAAAAATGTCCTTCGAAAACACATGTGAAATAAAGATGTGTTAATACAAACCAAAACCAAGAAAGCGACCAGCAGAGGGACACTAATTCTCAAGCAGGAGGAATGTTATTCCAGGTGAGAGTTTGGAGTTGCAGGAAGCAATCAAGGGCGCAGCCCCTGACTGGGTGCATGAATGGGTGGAACAACAAATCTCTCTCTTTCTCATCAATAAAAAATTAAAAAAATGTTAAATTTAGTCAACAATACAAATAAAGTTTAAAAAATGGTAAATCTAAATGACCACTAATTTAATTAATAAACATTAATGTCTTGTGGGACTGAAAATATATAGATAATTAAATTGTGTGCACATGTATACCTACACCTACCCAAGAGAAGTGAACGCATCTGACCACAAGAATTCTGCAAAAAAATAAAAATAAAAATAAAAATGTCCATAGCAGTTTTATTTATAATGGCAACCCAAATGTGTTTGTCTGTGACTCAGTTGGTTAGAGGTCCTGAATTCATCAGAAGGAGAAAGGACAGACACACTCCTTCCTATGTGGCTCAGTGGTTGAGCATCAACCCATTCACCAAGAGGTCACCTGTGTGTCCAGTCAGGGCATATGCCCAGGTTGTGGGCTTGATCTACAGTGGGGGGCCTGTAGCAGGCGGTTGATCAGTGTTTCTATCTCTCTATCCCTCTCCCTTCCTCTCTCTCTCTATAATCAATAAAAATGTATTTTTAAAAAGGAGAAAGGACAAACTGTGGTATAATTATTCAATGGAATGCTATTCAAATAAAAAGGGACAAATTACTGATAAATGCAAAAACTGGAGCTGGGGCAAAAAAAGAGTACATACAGTGTGAGTCCAATTATTTGAAGTTCAAGAACAGACAAAACTAATCTATGATCACAGAAATCAGAAGAGAGATTGCCTCTAGTGGCAGGGCAAAGGGGTATGAGCAAACTGAGGTGATAAAAACATCATCACCTCAGTTGGTGCTATAGACGGAATATATTACTCAAAAATAATCGAGCTGTGGGCTTGAGATCTGTGCATTTGTTGTACTAAATCATATATCAATAAAGTATTTAAAAGAATTACAACAACAGCAATAGCAGATAATTCTGAAGGGAGTGATGACCAATTATTCCTGCATTTTTTACGGGAAAAGTAAAAAAGTATTAGATAAGTCAAGGATGCATGTTGTAATTTTTAGGGTAGCCAATATAAGAGAAGAAGAAGAGTAACTTTCAATTAACAAAGGCGGGGAGGGGATAATAAACATTAATCAATGCAAAAGGAGGCAAGCAGGGGAGAAAATGTATTACAGGAGAGGCAAAGCACGTAGTAATCTGATTTAAACGCGAATACAGCATATCGGTGTCTGTAACTGGTGGTGAAACCTCGCATAAGGGTCAAATCCGTCCGTTTGTAGAATGAGGAAAGAAAAGTGCGGGGAAGCTGCCACGGGGATGGCCCGGGTCCTTCTCGCCTTGCTTCTTCCCTTGCTCGCTTTCTCTGAAATCTCTTTGCGAAGCTGCCTCAGTTTCCCTTCTAGTCCCTCACCCTCTGATTCAGTCAACACACGCCTCCTTTTCTCAGAGCCGCTTCGTCTGAGCAGTGTCCATGGCTGCTTAAAGTCCCTTCCTATCTCCTCATTTCACTTGCTAATGGCAAAAACGGCCTCAAAAGATTGCATTTTTCGAGGGAGGAAAAAGTAGAAGGATGGCGTTTACTTTTACTGAAAAAGTTAAAATTCTCTTTATTCTAGTGAAGGGAAAAAGAAAAAGTCTTGCTAGCAGAGGATGGTTTCGATCCATCGACCTCTGGGTTATGGGCCCAGCACGCTTCCGCTGCGCCACTCTGCTTCTGCGGGTGAGAGCGCCTCCTGATTCCTATAGAAAGTTTCCTACGTAATCTCTGTCCTCTCTCTACGCAGCGCCGTCGAACGTCTGGTGAAAAAAAAAAAAAAAATCGTCATTACTGTGTAGTCTAATCTGATTGGCTAGTTCCTGGCGCAGCAGGGATTTTTAATTGGTTTACAAGCCCGTTTTCTACGGTAAACCAATAGGCATAAGCGGAGGAGCGAGGCGGGAGCCAATCGCGCCGTGGCTTGTTGGCATACCGGCACGCCGCCTCTGCGCCTGGCGGCAGCTCGGAGGAGAGGGGCGGTTGGTGTGGCTTCCATTGTTCAGGGTCTGGGGCGCCATGAGGTGAGGACACGGAGGGGGTCTGGAAAGGTGGGGGTATGTGGCCAAAATCGCTGGGGAGGTGGGCCCGGAGGAGTCGGGGGGCCGGGAAGGACCACGTGCCGAGGGGCTGCCCTGAGAACTCCGGGTCTGGGCGAGTGGGGGCGATCGGAGGCCGTGGAGGCGGGGAAACCCGGGCCTGGGGTGGAGGGTTCCACAGCCCGGTTTCTGGGGGTTCAGGTGAGGGGGGTCCTCGGGTCCCCGGAGGAGCACCCCTCTCGTCTCCCCGTGTGGCCTGAGGAGGCTTGAACGCGGCCTCATTCATCCTCCAAGTGCTTGACCAGATGTGCCCGGGAGATGGTCCACTCTCTCGATGACGAAAGAAGAGCCTTTAGTCTCTGCAGGGGCCGCGCTGGCGTGTCCCGGGATGATGGGGTGTTCCCTGGAGGCGCTCAGCAGTGGGGCCCCGTCGTTCTCTGGTGTGGGCTGTGATGAACGTCTCCAGATCGAGGAGGTCAGGGGTGAGGTTGGGCTTTTGAAATGGGGAGGAATCCCAGTGGGAACGGGGATGCTTAGTTTCCACAGGAAAGTTCGGAGATGGAGGCCGGCAAGCTTGACATGATAGGCCAGCTGGTGGGGAAACGAGTTGAAGTCTCTTTGTTTTATGCGTTTCCAGGGGCGACAGAGGCCGAGGTCGTGGCGGGCGCTTTGGTTCCCGAGGAGGCCCGGGAGGAGGGTGAGTGTCCGGCATCTCTCACCCCAGTAAGAGCCTGGGGCGGACTCCTGGCACCCGCTTTTGTGAGATGCAGCTGTGGTTCAGAGGCCACAAGCTCTCCTGCCAAGCGGCTTCATCTTCGGTAGTTAGTAATTTGGACTGTTTCTCTTGCTTCAGGTTCAGGCCCTTTGTGCCCCACATCCCGTTTGATTTCTACTTGGTGAGTACCACTGCCCCTGTCCCCCGGTGGCAGACACGGAGCCTGCCCGCTTTTCGCTTGCAGTTTCCTGGAGCCCAGCATCTCCCTGTGAAAATGGTTGCAGGAGGAAAGGGGATTAGGGAATAGAGTTGGGGTTTTGAATCAGCTGCATGTTGCTTTACATACAAAAACAGTGTAAGCTGGGTAGGTAAGCTAATTCCTTGGCTACTATGGGCAGTAACATGTTTGTAGTCTTTGTTCTGAATCGTTATTGTATCTCTGGCTTATCTGTTAACGTAAAGGTGGCAAGAGCTTAAGTTATGGCTGTTTCTTCCCGTTTGTATCCTTGTTTGGACATCTTAAGGAGTAAAAACAAGTGTTGTAAGATTTTTTTGTTTTCAGTTTTTTCTGTTGTAGGAACAAAAATGTAATCTCCCCTGTATATGATTTTTAAAAAATATTTTTTTATTGAGGGGCTTGTATGCATGCATATGAGCATAACTGGTTGGTGAGGGCATGTGCTGGGGGGTGGGAGCAGCCGGGGAGAGGTAAAGGGGGAAAAGGAGACTTATGTAATACTTTTAAACAATAAAGAATTTAAAAATATAATTGATTTCAGAGAGAGGAAGGAAGAGGGAGAGGTAGAAACATCAATGATGGGAGAGAATCATTGATGGGCTGTCTCCTGCACATCCTCTACTGGGGATCAAGCCCGCAACCGGGGCGTGCCCTTGACCGGAATTGAACCCGGAACCCTTCAGTCTGCAGGCCAATGCTCTGTCCGCTGAGCCAAACCAGCCAGGGCTGTATATTATTTTGATAAATAATAAATAGTTGTTTATTTCTGGTTTAGTGTGAAATGGCCTTCCCTCGGGTTAAGCCAGCACCTGATGAATCTTCCTTCAGTGAGGCATTGCTGAAAAGAAATCAGGACCTTGCTCCTAATTCTGCTGAACAGGTATATTCTTTCGGCTTTTTTCCTGTGATTTCTCTGAGAAAGCTAGAGAAGTGAGTAACTACTGGTGAGGTTACTGTTATCAGAGCCTAAACTTCACAGGTTTATATTAGCCTCCCTCTCCCTCTACCCCCAGCCTTGTACGTGGGTTGTATGTTCTGAGACCCTCACTGTTTGCCTGAAACTGCAGATAGTACTGAGCCTTGTATATACCATCTTTTTTCCTATACATATGTACCTGTGGTAAAGTTTAATTTACAAATTAGACACAGTAAGAGCTTAATAGCAATAACTATAACTTCTAAAATAGAACAATTATAATAAAATACTGTAATAAAAGTTTTGTGATTATGGTCTCTCAAAATCTCCTGCTGTACTGTGCTCACTGTCTTTCATGTGATAATGTGGATGATACGATCCTCTGCCTACATGATGAAGTGAGGTGAATGACACAGGCACTGGCATAGCCTTAGGCAGCTAACTAGAAGGGTTACTTGAACTGAAGCACTGTGACACCTCCAGTTGATCTGATAACAGACAGGGCTATGGGCAGGTAGCATGTACAGCATGGATACACTAGACAAAGGGGTGGTTCATGTCCTGAGGGGGATGGTGCACAATTTAAAAATTATGAATTGTTTATTTCTGGAATTTTCCATTTAATATTTCCTTAACACACTTGACTGCAGGTAACTGAAACCATGGAAAACAAAACTAGCAAAATGGACTACTCTAAAATTGTTCTCCTTATTTCTCATGGTGGGTGGAGGAAGAGTGCCAGATTGCATATGTGTTCATATTTTTATTGGGGAATCCTATCTTTGAGATAAAAAAAAGTTTCCTTCTAGCGTATTCAAGGCCAGATGGGTCAGTGTTTTCAAAGCCCTATATTGGTATTGATTCAGCTTGTATGGAAGGGATTAGGGGGAAATAATTCAAACTGAGAAGTTGCTTATAATTTCTCACCTTAGGTTGTTTTTGTTTCCTGCTGTTTTTCAGGCCTCTATTCTTTCTCTGGTGACAAAAATAAACAATGTGATTGACAATTTGATTGTGGCTCCAGGGACATTTGAAGTGGTGAGTTTTTGATGATTTAGTCCTGGAAAAGGGCAGCCTCGGTCGTGTGGGAATTACATTGGCTCCTGTTTTTTTTAATTCTTCCATCAAAGCCATGCCTACATGGGAGTGTACAATGGAATTCCTTTGTGGTACTGATCTTGGGGACAAGACTTGTATTACTGCTTTCAGCTAGCCATGATGTATCAGGCTTTCCTTAATGGTTTTGGGACATGATTTGACCTTTGCAACTTCCAAATCTGGGTAATAAGCAGCTGTGTTGTAACTGATCTCTGAGAGGAACTAGGCAGTCTTTTCACTTTTTTTCCTTTCTCTCTGAAATCCTTTTTTCCAACAGCAAATTGAAGAAGTGCGACAGGTTGGATCATATAAAAAGGGAACAATGACTACAGGACATAATGTGGCTGACCTGGTGGTAATCCTAAAGATTTTGCCAACGTGTGAGTATACCTCTTTCTGGCTATGGAAACAAACATAGCGGTTAGATTTGAGGCATAGGGATCCTTAAAGCCCAAATTTCTCTCCTTTTCTCTCATTTTAGTGGAAGCTGTTGCTGCCCTAGGGAACAAAGTCGTGGAAAGCCTAAGAGCACAGGATCCTTCTGAAGGTTTGAGTTTGTTGCTGAACACGTGTTTAGTGGACATAAGAGCCCGATCTGTCATTCTAAGTATACAGCTAACGAAGTCTGGCCAGAAGGAAATGTGAATGGAGAGCTTTATGTTGGGGAAGTGTGGGCGAGATCTTCCTTGTGCAAAATCCTCTTGATCTCTACTTTTTTTTAATTTTATTTTTGTTGACATGATCTTTACTTTCAAAACTCTGTATTCTAAATCCTCATTCTGGACTCTTGCTGCTTTTGAAAACCTATCAATTCACTAATTGAAATCTGAGAGTTAGAACTTTTGAATTTTTTCTTTTAGTTTTGACCATGCTGACCAATGAAACTGGCTTTGAGATCAGTTCTTCTGATGCTACAGTGAAGATTCTCATTACAACAGTGCCACCCAATCTCCGAAAACTGGATCCAGAACTCCATTGTTAGTCCCTTTTTTTTTTCCATTGCTGGGAAATTTGGAGGAAATTCAAAAGATGGTATACAGTTGCTGTTGAGTTTACTGAGCTTGTTGCTATTCCACATAAAACCTTCTGCAACCTAAGTTTACTCCCAAACTTTGTTTTCTCCATCTGTAATTTGGAGACAGGTTTACCAACTTGCTAGTGAAATTGTCAAATATAGGATGACCAGGAAAGCAGTCTGAGGGCTAAGAACTATGGAAATACTTACGGAGTTGGGTTAGGCTTTTGGAAAACGTTGTGGATCTTGTATGCTTCTAGATTTGGTCTAGGGGAAAAGTAGTGAGTTTTGGACAAGTGATTTGCTGAGCTGAGAAACAGTGGTTTATTAATTTTCATTACTATTTTTGAATCCTCACCCAGTACATGTATTTTTATTGATTTTTTAGTGAGAGAGGAAAGGGGGAGGGAAACATTGATTGGTTGCCTTCTGTATGTACCCTGACAGGGAATTAAACCTGCATTGTAGGTATGTGCCTGGTCTGGGAATCAAACCTTTTAAAAAATTATTTACTGATTTTAGAGAGAGAGAAACATCTATTTGTTGTCCTACTTATTTATGCATTCATTGGTTGATTTTTGTGTGTGCCCTGACCGGGGAATCAAACCCTCAACCTTGATGTATTGGGGTGACACTCTAACCAACTAAGCTATATGGCCAGGGCAAACCCACAACCTTTTGGTGCATGGGATGATGCTCCAATTAACTGAGCTAGTTGGCCAGGGCAAACGTGTGGTTTAGGAATTACATTATCCTGTCGTCCTTCCAAGTTACTGAACTGTGGTGGTGGGGTTGAATTGCTTGCTTAATGATAGGAATGTTTCATCTTGGCCTGTCATGCTTCTAGTGGACATCAAGGTGTTGCAGAGTGCCCTAGCAGCCATCCGACATGCCCGCTGGTTTGAAGAAAATGCTTCTCAGTCCACGTGAGTTCCCCCCTCACTATTTGAGCTAAGATAACCTAACCCTTCTAACTACAGTACAGGACACTGCTGTACTTCCTCTGACAGACCTTTGTGGCTCCAACCTTCTGTCTGGATTCTGAATTTTATGTTAAGCAAAATTCAAATTGAAATTGAAAGGAGAGAATGCATAGTTCTGGAAATAGCTTTAGCTGTGTACCTTGGGTGTGGAAGTACATGGTCATTACTTTTAATCCCTGGGTCCCTCCTACCTTTAGAGTTAAAGTTCTCATCAGACTTCTGAAGGACCTGAGGATTCGTTTTCCTGGCTTTGAGCCCCTCACACCCTGGATCCTTGACCTACTCGTAAGTAAAGGGCAGTTGTTCCTGATCTTCCCTATTTAATAATACTCTGACATCTACCAGAATCTGAAGTTTGGTGAAACTTAAAAAAATTTCATTGCTGGACAAGTAATCCAATAAAGATTTTTTTAGAGTAAAAGAGTCGTTATTAATGCCCCTTTGTCTTTTTTTATTATTGCTGTCATTTTACTAATGTAATAACGGAAAGGACAGACTAGATGAGCAGTCACTTCAGAATCCCTTCTGAACGTGAACATGTTGATTTGGCCTTAATAACCAATTTTCCTCATGACAGCTTAAAGTTGTAGTTTGTTTTATGGCACACCTACCAGATTTATTCTTTTCCAGGGGCACTATGCCGTGATGAACAACCCCACCAGACAGCCTTTGGCCCTCAATGTGGCATACAGGTACGGCATGCTTCTCTGGGTTTGGGACTGGAGGTAAACTGTCTTTTTTGCTCTTTTAACACCTCCCTGTGTTTCAGGCGTTGCTTGCAGATTCTGGCTGCAGGACTGTTCTTGCCAGGGTCAATGGGTATCACAGACCCCTGTGAGAGTGGCAACTTCAGAGTACACACAGTCATGACTTTGGAACAGCAGGTATTGGGACAGCTCTGAAATGGTCTGTTGTACGCCATTCCTGAATACTCCTGGGTCTGAAGGCAAAGGGAATGTGGTCTTTAGGGGTCAAGGATATGGGGGTTCTCATATACTTTAGGCTTGAAATTGAAAGGTTATCTTCATCTCTGTTTTCATGAGAATGTTAGTCAAACAAGGTGTTTTGATTATATTTGCTTATTTATCCTCACTTTGCTCTCTTCCAGGACATGGTCTGCTACACAGCTCAGACTCTGGTCCGAATCCTTTCACATGGTGGCTTTAGGAAGATCCTTGGCCAGGAGGGAGATGCCAGCTGTGAGTGATCCCTGGGCTGGAGGTTCTTTAGGGTATTCTGTGGTCCTCAAAGAAACTCTCAGACTCTAAGACAACTGCTCAGATGTCTTAGTATTTCCACTGTGTAGATCATGACTTGTATGCTGGGCTATGTGTCTGAAATCACACCTTTTTTCTCTTCTAGATCTTGCTTCTGAAATATCTACCTGGGATGGAGTGATAGTGACACCTTCAGAAAAGGCTTATGAGAAGCCACCAGAGAAGAAGGAAGGGGAGGAAGAGGAGGAGAATACAGAAGAACCACCTCAAGGAGAGGAGGAGGAAAGCATGGAGACTCAGGAGTGACTCCCTTCTCTCCACCCTTTCTTACCCAAGGGGAAGATTGGAGCCTGAGCTAACTGCTACTGGGCTCTATATGGTGGCATTTCTGAGGGCTGGGGGAGACAGGAAAGAAAATAAAAATAAACCATGGAAGGAAATGTCATCCCACTGAATTCTTATGTTGCTTAGTAGCCAGAAGTCTCCCATCTCTAGTGAAGCAGTTTACCAACTTTTCTTCATGAGATTGTAGAATCCCCAGGTCCTTGAAACCTCTCTTAACCAGTACTTTGTTGTTGAAATGTCAACTGTTCATGCCTGGAAATTTTTTTTTTTTCTAAGAAAAATAAAGTACTTCCTACTAGGGCTCTTTCTTGGTCTTGTATTTCTGTGGTATCTGGCCACCCTTTTTGCTTTCTGTATTCTTCATTGAAAAAATGCTACTCAAGTATTTTCATTGTGAATGCTAGATCACAATTTGAAGCTGTATTTGAATTTATTAAAGTACAGAGATCCTTGGAACCTTTCCATATACCAAAGTAAACTAGAGTATTGTTTAAGCATTTATTGAATTAAATGGTTCCAGCAAGACTACTGTGTCCAAGCCAGTGAAATCTACAACAGGGTGGATGGGTGACTGCCTGCCCTCTTCAAATCCTAAGCATAAACAGGAAAATGGGAAGTCACAGGTAGAGGGTGTGCTGCCCAGGCCCCAACAACTACCAACTTTGCCAGCCATGTAACAAGAAGCCCCTCCCTGGTTAACTAGATTTGAAGGTAGAGGTGAAACTTGAGTATGTACCTTTAAAAAATGTAGAGGTCTCAGCTCATTCTTGGAAGGAAGAGCTGGAATAAATCCTTTGGGATCCTGAGTCCTGAACAGATTTCTGTGGACCCCCACATAAATGGGTACGACTGTTAAGTGCTTCAAACAATCCATAGGATTGCCTTGATGTCCCAGGGTTAACAGGGTGTCCTGAAGGAAACGAGGCAGGTGGGAATAGTACTTGAGCTATTCTGAGGCCCATCTTCTGTTACTTGCTTGGGGAGCCAGGGGGGTAAACTCCTGAATCCAGCATTGCCCTCCTTCGGGCTGTTTCCTTGGCAACACTGTGGTTTAACCGCCTCAGCCGCTCCTATAAGACAAATTTGTAATCTTAACTGCTCTGTGAAAGAAAGGCTTTAGGGCTCACTGTTACCGGGCATGTAAAATATCTTAGGCTTGCTCCATCTCAATGTAGGTCTCCTAAGGTATATAAGAATGTAAATAAGAGCCACTGGGTAGTGAGAAGAAACAGTTCTAGCCCGGCTGGTGTGGCTCAGTGGTTGGGCGTCGACCTATGAGCCAGGAGGTCATGGCTCGATTCCCAGTCAGGGCAAATACT